TCAGAAGTTAGCTGACGTGCTTAATGGTAAAAGTGGGATAACAGTGACATGCAGAGCACAGCAACCACCTTGGGAGGGCCTATAGGTCATAACAACCAGTTGACCAATCAACAGAGCACAGGCCACCCAAGCCTGGAAGTGCACTAATCCTGAGGCTGTTGTGTACCCCTAAACACTCCCCTTGCTCCCCCCAATAAACTCCCTGCCTCGCAGCTCCTTGGGGTCCTTCTTACACCAGTCAACGTGTTGCACTTATTTGGATGGACAAGGGGCCCAAGTTAATGCAGTTAACTTGTTAATAATAAAGGCTCGTTGCTTTTGCATTGGAATGGGTCTCTTGGTGATTTGGGGGTTCAGAATTTGGGCACAACAGGTGTTTATTACAGTGATAGAAAGCAGACTAGGACTTTAACAAACACACTCTCTCTGTCTCCCTCCCTCCCTCCCACTCTCTCCCTTCTTTCCCCCTCCCCTCAAATTTTCAGACTTAGATCAAGATCCACACTTTCCATTCTCTGGAATAGGATTGTGCAGTGTGAAGAACATTACACTTGCAAATCAGACCTGATTAGTTTATTTGTCTGTCATTGTCTACCTCATTTGACATCTGAGTTTCCATTTTATCCTTTGATTATGTAAATAAAATATCTTCTCAGTGTTTTATGGGCTTCTTAGAGGAGCTTATGGACACTGTAAATATATGAGATTATGATGATGGTTTTCAAAACCATATTCTTCATCTTCCCAACAAAACAAGTGGCTGCATGTGACCTTTCTTTGTGGCCCATCACTAGTCTAGAAGCCCCAGTCTGCCTCTGGCCGCACCGCACCTTCCTCCCACCCCATGTCTCTGGTTCTCCAACTCTACCATCACCGCTTTCCTCACTGACACCCTGTGTTGTTTAGACATCGTGTTTCTCATGTGGCTTGTGTAATAACTGTGGGTCAGTTCATCCCTACTCTCCGTAACCACCTCACATTTTTATACTTTTCCACATAGCTCTTATTTTTATTTTTACTGTGTCTAATCTGCCATGTGGTTATTGTGTCATAATTTAGTATTTGGGGAATATTAGGTATCCATACTTTTAGCTGCTATAGTGTGGTATTAATTTGTGTGCATTTGTATGCTATATATCATATATATGTATATAACATATTTGAAGCTTATGATTATTTTGTTAGTAATTTCTATAAGTTATTTTAGTTATTGGGATAATGGATGGTTCTTTGAGACTTAGGCATCATTTTCCCAATTATTTCCCAATTATTTTATGTGTATAAGCATAGAGTATAAATATATTGTTGTTTGAAAAGGATCTCACAGCTGGACGTTGGTGGCGCACGCCTTTAATCCCAGCACTCGGGAGGCAGAGGCAGACAGATCTCTGTGAGTTCTAGGCCAGCCTGGTCTCCAGAACGAGTACCAGGATAGGCTCCAAAGCTACACAGAGAAACCCTGTGAAAAGGATCTCACTATGCAGTCTTAGCTGGCATGAAACTCATAGATATCCTCCTGCATCTGCCTCCTGGGTGCTGGAATCTTTTTGTTTTTAATGTTGAGCGCTGAGCCCATGGTCTACCTCATGTTCAGCAATCTACTGCTGATATACACCCCAACTCCATTGTCTTTTTATACTGTGGGGGATGGAAACGTGCTACTTTGGCATATTGATTGTTTTGGGTTAAAGACATTTGAGTATAGAGGCTTGTGGATCTAGGCTCTGAGGTCCTCAGACCTTACTGTCTGCACCTCCAAAGCTGTAGACTTTGAGAGCTAGAGGTTACAGCTCTAGCCTTTCGGCCCTACATGCTCAAGTCAGGTCCCTATGGCTGTGGCCTCTGAGTGTCCAGTAGCTCAACACTGAAGGCTCCTAACAGCTCTAGGCTTTGGGCATCTGCTTTCTCAGCCCTTAACTAAGAACACTCCAGCCTCCTTTAAGCTGCTGTGTGAGCTGAGGGCTTGTGGCATTGGGAGACTAGAGGACTTACAATCTCAAGAACCACACTCTAGTTACCTTCTAGCTGCAGCTGCAGCTGCAACTGCTTACCTAGCTACAACTGCATACCTAGAGCTAAACCCAGTGATCCATCTGTTCTTAGTGTTGTCTGCCATGTCACTGGGCACCAAAAGACCTTGATGTATGAGTTTGTTCTGTAACTAATAAAATGTTATGTAACCACTTCCACAGTGGAAAATTGTGTTTGGGGCAGCCTGAATCTGTTCCTGGGCCATACCATATTTGACTCCAGAATAAACTCTCTTGCTCCCTTTGAGTAGAGAGCTGTGCTTTTTGTGTGGACCACATCATCCATGGATGTCACATACACATTAAAGACACGTTTGTTACTGAGTCACTGGAAAAGCCCTCCCCTCCTGTCCTGGGTGAAACTTGCTTAGGATAGGTGGGGGCATCTAGAGTTCACCGAGGCTTGTCATGGCTGAAGTGAAGTCTGGATCCAAGGTAAGTTTGTCTTTATCTGGAGTAGTTGTGGCTTTAGTGGTGTTGGTGGCTGTAGTGTTCCTTGCAACTGGAATGGAATGTTCCTGAAATGACCGAGGTATAGTCAAGTGGCCTGCCTGTCATGATGACAGTCTAGCTGGTAACCCCCAAAGGGGACAGCTGTTCTATTGACAGCACTCTCTTTAAGGCAACAGAATACAAATGAAGAGTCTATCAGATATCTGTAAAGAGCAAATTGACTGTTGCCTGTAGCTCTGCTCATTTAAAACATTGAATGTTGCTTATGATAAAGATCTAACTCAAAATTAATTTTCTCAATAGTATTTCCACACCCATCCATCTATCCTTAGGGGAGAGTGGGACCCTGTGATCTGTGTATGTAAAGCTTCCAACAAAACAAAAACAAAAACAAAAACAACCAGCTGAAGGTAAAGACAGACACTTGACCCCTGGCCTCAGCTCTTCAGCCTTTCCTCTAAACACCCACACTGATTTCATCCCTTACAGTGGTCAGGGTTCTTAGGTCTTAGCTGCTGAGGGCTGGGAGCCTGTTCACCTCTGTCACCAAGGGTGTAGAGATAAGTTCTACAGTGTGGGTCTTCCTGATAAGGAGCAAAACCAAGTTTTCATTGTCTTAAAAATGAGCCTTACAGGGTGATCTCTGTGACCTCAAGGTCTAGACATGGTGAGAGCTCCAGGACAGAAGTGGGACAGGCACAGATTACCCAAGCTTCCTACCTCCTCTTTCTTTATTAGCTCAGAAGGTTGGGTGGCAAAGGACTTGGGACTCTTTGTGAGAGATTTGGGGAATCATACATAGATGTCTAAGAGTCAGAGTGTGAGGCTGTCCTGGCTGTCCATATTAGGATGCCATTAACGAGAACCTCCCTGCTGGAACAGTAGCTCCTCGGTGGAGTGGTTGTCTTCCATGTAAACAGCCCTGGGAAGGAAGGAGAAGGACAGAGAGATGAAAGGAGAGAGGGAAAGGGGAAATGGGTGGGTGGGTGGGTGGAGAGGGAGGATAGATAGAACAAATGAGAGATAGCAGACTATCCTTTCCAAAATTTAAATTTCTGTAATTTTGAGACAATCCAAGCTGGCTTCAAATACTCTATGTAGCCAAGGGTGGCCTTGAACTTCTGACTCTCCTGCTTCTACCTCTGGAGTGCTAGGATTATAATCATGTGCACTATACATGGTTGGGGGGTAGGGGACAGCTATAGAAGGAAATGCTAGGCAGGCAGTATACCAATTGAGCTGTATCTCCAGCCCAGATTCTGTGACATCTGAGTTCTCAGTACATCATAGTTTGGTATCTCTTAACTGTTTACATGTGTATTGAATATATATAATTCAATATGTAACTCAGGCTATCCTGGAACTTAACTCTATAGCCCAGGTTGGGCTCGTTATCCTGGTCCCCTTGCCTCAGCTCCCCAATACTGGGATTTTAGTAGTGTGACACTATCTAAGTTGTATCTCTTATTGTAGGAACTGCAATGAAAAGCAACCTCTAACTTCCTGATTGACTACTGTAGCATAGTTGTTTTGTTTGTTTTGGCATTAAACATGTCATATAGCAAGTACAGTCATTGATGATTCCAGAAACTCTGGCTGTTCTAGAGTGATTATTAACAACATTTTTTACCTGGCCTTTTATTTAAGAAGTGTTATATTCCAAAAATTTCATTGTTTTTAAATTAGATAGAAAGCTTTAAAAAAAAACTAAAACTTTACTGTTATCATTGAAAATTATATTTACCAACATTTAAATTTTTTTAGATTTTATTTATTTATTATGCATACAACATTCTGCTTCCATGTATATCTGCACACCAGAAGAGAGCACCAGATCTCATAACAGATGGTTGTGAACCACCATGTGGTTGCTGGGAATTGAACTCAGGACCTCTGGAGAGTAGTCAGTGCTCTTAACCTCTCAACCATCTCTCCAGCCCAACATTTAAATTTTAATATGAAAAAAAAAAATCACTTAAAGATTTATGTGCCGGGCCATGTGGCGCATGCCTTTAATCCCAGCACTTGGGAGGCAGAGGCAAGCAGAAATCTGTGAGTTCAAGACCAGCCCGGTCTACAAGACTAGTTCCAGGACAGGTTCTAAAGCTAGACAGGGAAACACTGTCTCGGAAAAAAAAAAAAAAAAAGAAAAAAAGAAAAAAGAATTACCTTAGCCAGATGTGGTACCTCACACCTGCAATCCAAGTATTTGGAAGGATCTTCATGAGTTCTAGGCCAGCCTGAGCTACATTGTGAATTCCAGGCTAATCTGGACTGTAGTATGTAGCACTGTCTCAGAAAAAAAAAGGAAAAAAAAAAAAAAAAGGCAAGAATTCAGGCCTTTGAGGCTAAATATGTACCTAATCAATGACAAATGGCGTGCAGGTGGAGTGTAATTGCGTGGAAGGATTTGCCAGAACAGAAACAGCATTAGCCGTTCTCTCCTCATACCATAGGAAATAACTAAATAGTTATCTGTCCATTGTTATCTAATGCCCTATTCTTCTCTCTCCCTAGGTGAATGTGTCAAACCTTTCACACCAGAGAAAGCAAAAGAAATTATAATGTCTTTACAGCAGCCTGCAATCTTCTGTAACATGGTTTTTGATTGGCCCGCACAACACTGGACTGCGGAACACCTTTCCAGGGTCCTGCAGGGCAAGCAGATCCGATTCAGAATGGGCCTGAGAAGCACAGATACAGGTAGTAAGCTGTCACTATGGAAGCCCCGCCCCCTCAGTGGCACTCCCACACTCTCCGCGATACCCACCCCATCTCTAGACAGTCCTTTGTGTCTAATCGCAAATCCTCTAACCACTCGCTATATGAATAGGAAACTTACAAGAAAGCATGGGGAAATAGTTGGACCTCATACAGGGTGCCCCCCCTTCAAACAGTTGGGTTTAAACACCCACACAAAATGCAAATCTGTTTATTCATGTATTCCACATGTTGCCCGACATTATTATGGCTGATTGAGCATAGTAGACAATAAGTAAGTTAATGCATTACTTGTGCCCCGTTCCACTGAAAAATAGTAGTACTATAATAATATAGAATTACAGTGTAATAATACAATAATATCCAAGAATACAATGTCATAGTCCCTCCATCTTATGATTCATCTGGAACACATTCCTACATGTATGGCTTCCAGCTATTTATAACACTCAGTCTCAGCTATAATTTATCTTTTACTTCTTAGTCTACTTGACTTTTATTTTACTGTGGAAGCATGAAATGTATGTAAAGCTGTTTGTTCTATGTGTTTATGTATAAGTGAGGCAATACCGAACTACACCTCCGCTCCCACCTTTAAAAAGATAATACAAACCAGGCGGTGGTGGCTCTCGCCTTTAATACCCCGAACTAAGAAGGCAGAGGAAGGCAGCTCTCTGAGTTTGAGGCCAGCCTGGTCTACAGAGTGAGTTCCAGGACAGCCAGGGCTACACAGAGTAACCCTGTCTCAAAAAACCAAACAAACAAAAAAGCAAGGCCTCACTGTGTTGAGCAGCTGGTCTTCACCTACCAAGGTCATCCTGTGTAGCTGAGGCTACTGGTACATGCTGCTCTGCACTACTTCTGTTTTTATTTTTCTGTTGTTTCCCCTTCCTTAGTATGAACAGATGATTGTACTTGTTGCCTTTTCAGAACACTTTGAAATTTTGACATTTTTGCCTTGTTGTCAGATAAAACGATTATCATTATCTCTAAATTGTCATTATTTTAAAGAACAGACATGGTATGTTTCTGATCTTAAGGTGTCCGTAGCTGTGGTCTGGTCTCTAACTTGCATTTCAGAATGAGTAGCTGGTCCTATAGAAACTCGGCGTGCATTGCAGAGAAGTAGTCTTTGAAGACCTAATTATAGCCTAAGAGGAGCAAGAACATTTCCCAGTTTCCTTCCAGCAGCTCCAAGCTCCTTTCTCTCATCCTGACCTTATAGGATATGTCCTGCAGTTTGCTTTTGGTGTCTAGAGCCACAGACAACAGAATTACTGTAGTTTGTCCGGCCATGTGGCGCACGCCTTTAATCCCAGCGCTTGGGAGGCAGAGGCAAGTGGATCTCTGTGAGTTTGAGACCACCCTGGTCTGCAAGAGCTAGTTCCAGGATAGCCTCCAAAGCCACAGAGAAACCCTGTCTTGGAAAAAAGAAAAAAAAAAAAAAAAAGAATTACTGTAGTTTGGTATCTCAGTCTAACCACAGATTGGTTGTCCAGTTATTTTTAAATGAAATGCTAGACCGGTACAGTAACTTAAAATCAGATTACATGTTTTCCTTTTGATATTGTGAAACAAACCCGCCGTTCACTGAAGTGTCTATTACTGACTTGAAGAGAAATACAAAGTGTGGTATTTTCACATCCTGCTTAGACTCCAGACACCACGCTGCTGCTGGTGGCTGGCATTCATTCACTGAGCTCCATTTACCCGAATTCTGTGCCTTAATCTGCCACCTCCTCCCTAGGGGTCTAGGATTGTTACTGCACATAAGCTGTGGCAATTTGACATTTTCAAGTTAATACTTAAGTTTTTAAAAGCCTCTCTGCAGTGTGAGAACCACTCTGAGCCCTCAGGTCCCTGGATAGCCAGGCAGGGAGGCCTGTCCGCCCTTTGTTCCCCACCCACAGAAGCCTCATGGCATCGTAATTCCAGAGGACGCTGCTCCCTGAATCGGGATGTCTCCTGTCGCCATTCCTCATCAAGTGCTGCAGCCTCACTTTCATCCAGGTTGATACAGCCCTGTCGTTCTTCCTGGTCCCCTGTGCAGTGATTTCGGGAGCCCTGTGATGCCCAATGGACATCTGCTCTAGACCACTGTCTGAGTCCGGGACAGTCCTCCCTGTCTCCCGGATCCCGCCTGGGGCAGAGAGCAACTAAGATGTCTCCTGGTAAACTTTCGGGGCACCATCCCAAGTGTTGGAATAGGCCATGACAGTGGAGGAAGAAAAGGTCTGGCAGTTGCCTCCAGCAGCCATGTGTTCCATGTTTCCAATCATGTCATTCATCATCCCAGATGTCTGGTTCCATGAAGCCACCAGACATTCCCAACATCCCGAAAGTAGTAGTGACAGCCCCAGCCTGCATCCTGCGGCTGGCAGGCCTGGTTGCTGGCATGTGATGCTAAGGAAGGGGCTGTATCCAAAGCCGCCTGACAACATGCGGTTCGTATGCTGATGGTGAATTGCGAAGGGGTCCATCAGGAACATGGGTTCTTCAGGTTCCACGTCCCTCGTGAACGGAACATCCTGATCTCAGCTCCTGGGGGCTCCACGTGTTCCTGGCTCATCTTCTCTCCAAGAGCATGGTCGCGGACCCAGGACACGGGGATTGGGGATTGGTCCGCACTCTGCGCGGGAGCTCCTCGCCTCACGCACCGCCTTCTGCCTCAGCTGCCACCTTCATACGCCCCCGCACCCCCCGGGGGTGGAGGTCTGAATTTTTAAGCACCACAGCACAATGCCACAGAAACATTCCATACCTGATCTCACAAGGCAAATATGTATAACCTTTAGCCTAAAATTGTATACCTATGTGTCTAAGGAAGATATGAAGTAGAAATGAATTTCTTTTTTTTTTTAATTTTATTTTGTATACAGTGTTCTGTCTGAATATATGCCTGAAGGCAAGAAGGGGGTGCCAGATCTCGTTAAAGACAGCTGTGAGCCACCATGTGGTTGAACTCAAGTCCTCTGGAAGAACAGCCAGTGCTCTTAACTGCTGAGCCATTTCTCCAGCCCAGAAATGAATTTCATAGTAGCTTTGGCTTCAATCCACAAGATAGCTTATTCTGTATATGTAAATATTCCAAAATCAAAAAAAAAAGTAGGAATAAAAAATGAACCATTCCTGATCCTAGACATTTAGATAAGGGGTATTCCCATGGACATTTGAGTGCAGATTTTGAAGTAGAGCTATGTTTTCATTCCTTGGGAATATATAGAGCTAAAAGTAAGATCACCAAGTCATGTGGTATGCTTCCTAACCTTTTGTGGAACTGTTCAAAGCTTCTACCACTATGTGCGAAGGTTCCAGATTTTCCACCTTCCTTGCAAACACTTCCCACCTTGTACCTCCCCTCTCTTCTCAGTTGCACCCATGCTGGGGTGTGTGTGTGAGGTCATACTCCATTGTGGTTCTGATTGGCCTTGTTCTAATGACTAATGATGTCAGGTGTCTTTTTGTGATTGCATTAGCCAATAGCAATGTGTCTTCACATCTTTTTGCTTGTTTTCTAATGGAGGTTTTAGTTGTTGAGTTGAAAGCGTTCTTTATATAGTCTAGAGAGTAGGCCCTTGTGAGATGTATAACTTAGAAAGGTTTTCTCTCACTCAGCAGGTTATCCTGATACTTTGCTCCTTTTAAAAATTATTTCTTTGGGACGATGTAAATAGCTCAGGAGTAAAGCATTGCCTGTCCCCTGAGTTCTGTCCCTGGGAATATAATGATGGAAGGAAAAAAGTCACCCCCTGACCTACACATACAAATAAGTAAAATAATTTTTTAAAGACATGTCTCTTGAGTATATATGTCCCCTCAGATAGCATAGGATTATGACATAAAAGAATTGTTCAGGGCTGGAGAGATGGCTCAGAGGTTAAGAGCACCGGCTGTTCTTCCAGAGGTCCTGAGTTCAATTCCCAGCAACCACATGATGACTTACAACCATCCATGATGAGATCTGGTGCCCTCTCCTGGTGTGTAGATATACATGGAAGCAGAATGTTGTATACATAATAAATAATATCTTAAAAAAAAAGAATTGTTCAGATTTTAGCTTACTGAGTGACCCTGGGAAGGTCAATTAACTTTTATGTATGGTAGAAATATTTTCTAAACTAAATGATTTTTTTCCAGGTATAGTGGTGCATGCCTTTACTCCCAGCACTTATGAGGTGGATCTCTGTGATTTCTAGGCCAGCCAGGTCTACATTGTGAGACCCTGTCTCAGAAAAAAAATAAGCTCATATGCACAGTGCATTTAGAATAATGCCTACATAGTTGGTATTCAACAAATATCACTTTAAGAAAAATAATTTTAAAGTGAAAGTATGGTGTCTGTGTAAAAAAATAACTGGAAAAAGTAAAAAGGCCACAGAAATTTAAAGATGTCTTAGTATGTTACTCATGCTGTCCTGCAGTTCATTCCGTAGATCAGGCTGGCTTTGAACTCACACAGAGATCCATTTGTGTCCGCCTCCAAAGTGTTGGGATTATAGGTGTGTACCACCATGCAAGGTGGTACCACCATAAGCAAATATGTAGCACAGGCTGGCCTTGAACTCGTGATCCTCTTGCCTTCACCTCCTTGAGTAAATCCTATGTGTGTGTGTCTGCATTTTTTTAAATCTTGCCTTCTTGTGTGTCTATGTATCACACGTGTGCCTGATGCCCATGGCAGGCAGAACATCAGATTCCCTGGAAGTAGAGTTATAAACCATTGTGAGCTGCGGTATGGGGGCTGGGAATCATACCCAGGTCCTCTGGAAGAGCAGCCAGTGCTCTTAACCACTGAGCCATCTCTCCAACCTGACCAAACAGATTGTATTTAAAAATTAAGATTGTGTTGATTTTCACAGACTGCTTTTTTCTCTGTAAGCATATTCAGAGGAACTTACGACATTAAATGGGACGTTTAGATAGCTCCCTAATATTCCATTATGTGACAATATCATAGTTTATTTAAGATTTTTCCCTGCTTG